ATAGTTTGTATATGCATGTGGCATAGTGAACACAATTTATGGCCAATGAGTGAAGAAACCTGGCATCATATGCCTCTCGAGTGCTAGGGTTTCGGGTACCTGCAGCATGTTGCATGCACAAATCTCCGAAGAGCTGCAAGAAATGTTCAGGTGCCGATGGCTCCCGTCATAAGAGGGTGCCATCACTCTGACCTATGTGATTGTGGTCGTTTAGTTTCCAGAGCGACTAAATATCAGGTCGGGATCTCACATCATTATTATACTGAAGGCAGCGTGTTCCGTTTCTGCCTGAACTCAACGCCTCGGAGGTTGACTGCCTTCCGACGAGCGACGCAGGATAGCAGTCCTCGAGCAATATACTGCCAACATGAAGCGACCGCATCAATAGCGAACCTTTTGAAATGAAACAACAGTAGAAAGAAAGAGTGCAATTGACGTCTCTTGTCTGTCTTAAATAGAGGCACACTAATACCATCCGCGGGGTTGACTTTGGTTTCTTGGAGACGGAAGAAACCATGCAACAATTTCGAGTAGTTCGCAGTAAAGATGCAACAAAAGTCAATGAACTTACATTATCTAGCTCGTCAGCGATTTCATGTAGGTTTGACAGTGTGCGAAGGATTGCAGTGTCGTAGGACATTTGGTTCCAGACCTTCTCTGGCCGGCGCATCGAACGGATACCGGCAGGCTGTCCGACAAATACCCCGATATCCGACGCATCTGGGAAAGCCACAGTGGAACCAATAGTCTTCGAAATCATCGCAAGACAAAATAAGACCAGCCGATGGGTGACGAGACATATTCTGAGCATTTCCATTCCGCACAAGCCATCTTGTGCGTTCGCGAACATATCTCACAATGCCACCCCTGTCAGGATTCTCCAACAATCCCCTCCGAACCAGGGCGGACTTGGTACAAGCTACCCTCGCACTGCTCCGGCCCCTCCTACCCCACTTCTCCCCGTCCAAGGGCCGGATCCGAGTTCCGGTAAATTCGGCAACGCATTTTGATGAAACAGCCGCTCAACTCGAAGGTTTCGCTCGGCCACTATGGGCTGTAGGTGCCTTGCTCCTTGGAGCCGATGCCACTTCAGATCCAGCACTGTCAACTGCAATCACCGAAGTAGTCCAACCATGGATCGACGGCTTCGTCACAGGAACCGACCCCGAGCACCCTGAGTACTGGGGACCAATTCTTGGCCCCGATCAGCGCATGGTAGAGGCCGAGATTGTAGCATTTGCCCTCCTGTCTGCACCGGGTCGTATCTTCAAGCCGTTGAGTGACAAGTCGAAGGAAAACATCACCAACTGGCTCCGGTCTTTGAATGGGATGGAAATGCCGAAGAACAACTGGCGTTGGTTCAGAGTGTTTGGAAACTTGGCTCTGTTTAAAGTCTGCGGCGTGCCATATGAAAGTGTGCGCGATGAGATAAACTCAGACTTAGCGCTCCTAGACACTTTCTACCGATTTGATGGTTGGTCGGCAGACGGTCCCTGGCAAACAACAGAGCATGCCCAGAATGAGTTCGAGCAGTTTGAGAAGACTGGCAGACGCGATGCGATAGGAATCGGAAGACAGGCCGACTACTACTCTGGTAGCTTTGCTATTCAGTTCAGTCAGCTACTGTATTCTCGGTTTGCTGCGGATATCGATCCTGAACGAGCGGAGAAGTACCGCCAGAGAGCAAGAGACTTCGGTGCCACTTTCTGGCGATATTTTGACTCTGAAGGTGAGTTCTTTTGTGGAACTTTTGACCCCGACCATGCAATGGGCTAAGATTCTTTAGGCTCCGCCATACCTTTCGGCCGGTCTTTGACTTATCGCTTCGCCTGCGGAGGATATTTCGCTGCTCTAGCTCTGGCACAAGTACCCGACATGCCAAAACCTCTTCATACCCCCGGGGCCATCAAAGGCTTCCTCCTGAGACATCTTAGATGGTGGGCAAATAACTCAGATGGTGTCTTTTATCCCGATGGTACCATGAATATCGGGTGGCTGTATCCGTAAGTACACCTAAACCCAGCCCATCCGCAGCCACGTCAAAGGGATTCTTGCTCATATTCAGCCTAGGAACATGTACCTGTGCGAAGATTACAACTCACCTCAATCTCCGTACTGGTGTTTGAAGACCCTCATTGCGGTTGGCCTTGCGGAGGACGATGATTTCTGGACTGCAGAGGAAGAGCCATACCCCTCTCTTCCTTCCACAGACTCAGTTGCGCTCGTCCCAGCCCCTCAGCAGATTGTGTGCAACCACCCTGGCAGTAACCATCATTTCCTCCTTTCGCCAGGACAATTTGTAGCATGGCCAATGAAGGCTAACCAGGCTAAGTACTGCAAGTTTGCTTACTCGTCGGCTTTTACATTCTCCGTCCCAACGGGCCCATTGATCCAGCAGATTGCTCCTGACAACGCCCTTGCTCTGAGTCGCGATGGTGGCGAGACGTGGGCGGTTAAGTGGAAATCTGAACCAGTGCGCTTCTCGACTGCGTTTATCAAGACAGCTTCAGGCACGCAGGAAGTACAAGCTGCGAGCGCTAAATGGTATCCATGGGGTGACAGAGCCGTTAGTGTAGACACCACGCTAATTCCACCGTCTGACCGATGGCCGGACTGGCATATTCGAGTCCACAAAATCAAGGTGCACGAGAAACTCAAGACGCTACACACAATCGAGGGCGGCTTCGCTATCTCTGGGCGCAAAAAGGGCGGCCAGACTGATGGGTTGCCTCTGTCTGTCATCTACGAAGTTCCGAAAAACGCCAGCTTTGGGTCCGCCGAAGGGGTTTTACAGAAAGAGCTTTCTACTCTGATCTTGTCCTCCGCAGGCGCCAGCGGCGTGGTTTCAAAGTCGCCGAGCAGTCGTCAGACAATATCAGAAAGCTTCCCACTGAAGCCTGATTCGAACACAAACTTGGCCTGCCCTAGGACCTTAATACCGGTCGTTTCTCATGCTACTGTCGGCGGCCTTGATGCCGGATTTGAAATAGTCCTGGTCGAGTCCGTCTTTGCGTTGTCTACTTCGGCAAATAAGGGTTGGCCCAGTGCTAGCAAGTCATTGGCAGAACGATGGTTGGATATTCCACGGGTGCAGCTGGAATCTGACAATCCGGACGCAGCGGACGGCGATGTTATTTTAGTCGTTGCCTCTACTCAAGCCTAAGTGTCAATTTGATAACTGGACATATACATAAAGTGCTTTGTAATCTACTCATCAGACACCCGTGACACAAAGTCCCCATGACTATTATCTCACGCACCGCGCTGAAGCTAGGAAATGCGGAAATATAGTTCAAGCACGTCCAGGCCGTGCTTACATGTGGTCTAGGAACCTTCATATCAACGGTAGCCTATGATATGTTGCGGAACCTTGATGAGACTAATGATATCTTCAATTCTGTATGATTCAATTTGGGGACCTTGAAAGAGCATGAGGGTATTTGCTCCGGTCTGAGACCGCAGCCATTGAGGTTCATAAATGCCGGAGATAGGTTTCAGTATACTTGAAGATTCCGCATATCGGAGAAAGCATATGCCATCAATATACGTAGAACCCCATACCGCCTACAGGTTAATCGTATTTCCTTCAGAACTCACGAGGTTTCATGAATTTGTATTGCATCACGACATAACACTGTTGTCCATCATGTCTTCATACCCCGGAACCGCAAGCGTCTCTCGTCCGTGGACCGTGCTTCACCGGCCTAGGTCTTTCACACAAGTCAGTCATCGGCTTTCTATGAACGGAGATTTAGTTCAAGAAAGTCCCATAGAAGAACAAATTTCATTCGGCTCCTCGTCAGGATCGGAACCTGAGACCGACATTGCCTCGCAAGAAACACCATCAACCCTCGAGACCAAACAACGCAGGGGTCTCCGCACACTACATATCAAGTACGAAGCAAGGATTAATGAAATCAAAGTCATGCATTTTCGGCGTCGAAACGAAAGTCGACGGGCATATGACAACAAAAGGACGATCGTCATTGACGATTATAACAAGGCTGGATGCTGGGCGCTCTTCCGATTTTCTCCACGGCGCAAACTCGACGCGATTGACCGGGACCAAGACAATGCCAACGACTACTTTGCGAAGTGTGAGAAAATCGAGCGTGGGGCCGTCGAGAGGAGGTTTGAAGATCGTGAGGAGCTTTACATACACTGCTATAGGAGAGCGTGGAAGAAGACGTACCCTTCGATAACATTCTGGTACGACAGGCCAAACCCGAATGCACTGGGCATATCCGTTATGACATATTATCAGCCAATCGGTTAGAAAGCATCGCACGACTTATACCAGCATCAATTCCTTAGGGATGAAGGCCTTAATGGCAACATAACTGGCCTTATCTGAAACCACTGGCTGCAGCTTCACATCATGAGCCAACGACCAGTTCCGCTTCTGGTGTTGATGAGAGAATACATAGACAATAAAACAATCATCAATCAGCTGTTAGTACAAAGTAACGTTACCAACGTCCCATCTGATCCCACCATGCTGCAAAGCGTGTTACCAATACTGATTCAGAGATTCAAAGATTTTTTTTTAAAAAAAAGGAAAAGGTCCAATACATTTAGCTGCTCATTCTCTTCTTCTTGGGGCTAATAATCTTGAATGTAACCCATATGTATACGCACAGTACTTCGCCAAACGATATGGAGCTAACACCCGGGGTCGTAATCTTTCATGACCAACTCCGGGTATAGCAGCCATAGTCTTGTTACTTTTAGAGAAAGTAAGAATGTACAAAAGCCAAAATCCGCTGTCTTGGTCTTAGTGCTTTTCTAGATGCTGACTTGCGGGCGAAAGGAAGCACATGCTCCATGGTATCATAGACTACCTAAACTGGCGTTGTCACAGGAACGACATGTCGTCATGGGGTCAGCACACCAGCGAAGGCTATTAGATTGGCCAACACCCCAAACTTAACCCTCAGATACTTCCCCGCAAATTTGTGTATGTCTCCCATTTTTGCGTCCTCAATTTCTAGAAATAAATCATGAGTAGTAAGTTGATTCCTATCTATAGAGGATTTTTGGACCCAACGTAAAAGCGTAGGGGGCAGGATGCAAAAGAGACAAGACATATGATTGAAGAAGGAGTTACATGTTTCCCATTGAATCGAAGTTTTTTTAGGGTAGAATTGGCACTTGATTAACAGAAATACAGACTCACCCCTCGACATCCCCAGACCTGAGGACGACGGATTGTGCGACCACCTTAGAGGCTTCAACCTACCAAGCGTTTCACTCCCCTCTGCGAAAGATAACTCTATGAAGGTCGACTTGGCAAACTTGGATGGGTTGACTGTCGTGTTCAACTATCCGCGTACTGCAGAACCAGGCGAAGAAGTCCCTCCCGAGTGGAACAGTATCCCAGGTGCCAGAGGCTGCACGCCACAGGCCTGCTCGTGCCGGGACAACTTTGATGCGCTGAAAGACCTTGGGGTAGCTCAGGTGTTCGGTGTGTCCACTCAGAGTTCAGAAGCCCAAAAAGAGCTTCGCGAAAGGGTTCATTTGCCTTATGATCTCTTAAGCGACGCCAATTTGAGGTTCGCGACCGCGGCAAGACTCCCTACCTTTGAGTGGAAACAGCGAAAGCTGATCAAGCGGGTCACTCTTGCGATTAAGAGTGGAAAAGTTGTCAAACATTGGTACCCTGTGTTTCCCCCAGATCAAAACGTCATAGAAGTTCTGAAGTGGTTGAAAGAGTATGAAGGCAAGGCGGCTATCTCTTCGGAATGAGGAGTCAAGAGATCTCTCGTGGCTTTTCTAGCTAATTTCTGTACTTTCTGTGCAAATGATAGCTGTGGTAGAAGCAAAACGATGAGTAAAGTCGATGCTCCAGTGCTGCCTCAAATCGAATGAAACCACTATACTATCATCTTTTTTGCCGTGCTGACAGCCTATTCTTCACGGGAATGAAGGTGAATGTACAAAGGAGGCTTCTCCCAAATTCCAAAAGACTTCTGCTCAATCCAATTCGAGTTCTGATCCGCAAGCTCAACATTGAACTTCCACAGCACTGTAGCTAGAATGAGACGCATCTCGTGATAGGCAAGGCTAAGCAAGAGTCAGAGCTAGATCCCCAAATTCACCAAAGGATTGCAACAGGATCAACCAACAACTTGGGGGATACGTACTTCTTGCCGATGCAGTTTCTCGGGCCATATGAAAAGGGTTGAACAACCTCCTTGTTGTCGTTTGCGTATTTCTCGGGCGGTTCGGCGAGCCAACGCTCGGGCACAAAATCAAGCGGATCAGTGAAATTGTACGTTGAAGTGTAAGCTGCGTACTGCGCGACGCTTGTAGCCGTCTGTATTCATATTAGCGATAGTGACCAATGGGGTCGAGAAAACGTGTGGCTTCTCACTCCCTCTGGGACAAATTGCCCGCAAACAGTTGATCCTCCTTGAGGAGCCACACGAGGCACCACACCCGGAGCCGGGGGATACATGCGAAGCCCCTCTTCTAGACACGCATTGAGATAAGGAAGCCGTTGCAGGTTGATGATGTTCAGGTCTTGCAGATGAAGTGACCGGATCTCTTCCGAAAGAATCTTCAATTTGTCGGCGTTCCGGCATAGAAGAAACGTGAGACCGCTCAACAAAGTAGCTGTCGTCTCGGTCCCGGCAATCATGAAGATTTGGGCGTTGGCGTACATCTCCCCCCGTGAGATGTTGTCGAGGTCAGCATTTCGTTGAACGAGACTCCAGATATCCCCTCTGTCCTTGTCATATTGCAGGCGGCGATCCACTCTGTCGTTGGAGTACTTTGTATGCTTCTCCATTCCTGCTTTAAGGGAGCTCGACAGTAGCGGAGCAAAGAGTCGTCCAAAAATTGGGTAGACTCGCAAGAAGGTTCCCATGACCATGTACTTGACGCTCGAAAAGACGTTGCTTACCCACGGCACATAATCGCCATCTTGAAGCATTCCCAGTGGCTCCCCGAAGGTGAGATCGGCCATGATGTCGAATGTTGTAAAGTTGTACATCCGCACTATGTCGACAGTGATCACGTTATCCTTTGTTTGACCATCCCGCCGGGACGCCTTGTCTCCAAGCTTAGATACCAAGAGATCTGTATAGCCGCGGATAAGTGACTCTTGTTCTCTCAAAGCCTTCTCAGAGAAAGCGTGGGAGAAAATACGGCGCTGTCGTGTATGTGTTGCATCATCTGCGTGCAGGATATCATAGTGTTCTTGATGACCCATGAGCGCCCTGTCTTTGGGAAACCCGCCACGGCCACCGACCCTGTGTCCTTGGATGTCTTTCCATGCTCTAGGGTCGATGTAGCTCAGCTGATTAGGTCCAATGCGCACTATTGGTCCGTACTTCTTGTGTAGGCGAACGCCCATGCTATGCGAGCTTCCGAGACTGAAGTGAGAAAGTTGAGGAAGACGCGAGGCCGCATATAGAATGGGCCCGGGGTACTTTCGAAGGGGGTGGAAGAAGAGTCGATAGACGATAATCCAGGCTCTCCACAATAATAACTGCTCAATGTTCAACCCATCAGCGGTCAATGAGTACTCTGTGAATTCGGGTTATAGACGTCACTTACGAGGAGGATGAAGGTAACAGGTGCAGAGACAAGCCCCGAGCCCAGGAGCCCTGCAGTCCGTGCCATATCTGTCTTCATGTTGAGTGACGTGAGTTTGAAATTTACTTGGATGTTGCTTTTGTCACAAGATTCATACTTCTCGGCCTCTTATAGCTAAGATGAACTCAGCTGCAATGTGTTTGCGGAGTTTTCGCGCGGAGATAGATGGCGAATGGTCCGCACTCCGGCAGAGCGAGCGATACGCGGATTCGTACCCGGGACCGGAGCCGTCACAAATACCGAGAGCTACTACTCCAGGGCTCCGACTTCATTTGGGAGTCATCCAATATCATGAAAATGAACGTCATGCCTCGCGGTCTCATGTTAAGACAATTGAGAAGCGCCGGGGCGATGTCCCTGCTGCCACCTTGTAATCCCAAGCAGAGGCCTCGCAATCCTTCCCCATCACGAGTCCTTCACCTTGCACACACGCGAGAGCGATTTCTGATGTTAAACAGGTCTCTCAATAAAACCAAAAAGTCATCAAGCTCGAGTTATAATCGAAGTACATACTATATGTACCCAAGCATGTACCTCACCGGTCTTGGTGTTTTAGATGGATGTTTCTAAGCTGTCTTGTTTCGAAGCCAAATGACTTCGTATGGAGCAACTACTTGGAGTACACAGGGCGAACCGTTTGCAAGAAAAAGTATGAAAAATCTTCCTACCAAGTGTAATCCATTTCGCACTTGATCAACCGCTGGAGCATAAGAGGAAATCATCGGCATTCCCCCCTGATCTCCCCAGACACCCAGCAAGGCTCCATCCTTGGTACATCGAAAAAGCGGACTTTGCGGCTACTTCCATTAACAACGTTCAATTTTGTTCTGCTGGATGATCGGGTCTACATGCCCGTTACACTCGATTTGGCAAAGTGCTACGCGCGGGGAATGGCCCGTGTCAAGGATCATCAGGTTCCTCCACGGTGGACCCCTGACAGGTCGCTTTATCATCATCAATCTAGCTTGGTGATGCGTTAAATGAAGACTTTTTGGTTGTTTGACTCAATTGTTGAGAGATTCCGTTCTCAGCGAAGCTTCATGGCGACTAAGTTACACCTGCAGGCGATGGGCATGTGAGGGTTAGGCAGGTAAGCTCCATTTCATCTTCCAGACCTCATTTAGCGATTTGGGTGAAAGTTGTATGATAATGCGTTGCCCTTAAGAGGAGCCAGAAAACTGAATAACGAGAGATAAAAGCCCACAGATAGACTTCTGTTCCTGACTTTTCATTTGCACTTGTTGCGGCTGAGAAAAATGGCATCTATTGAGAAATGTAGCCTTTCATGGGTTGTAGTCATCCAACAACATCTCAACTTCATGAACCCGCGATCGTTGAGTCGGTATCATAATTGGTACGCAGTATTTTATTTCACCAAGAAGCTACTGGGGACACTGCTTCGTCCTTTGAACCCTAAAGAAAAAAAGGGGATGTCCTCAGTCGCCTGCCTGTTACACCAGCCGATGCTGTGCCAGTGTGTATGTCTAGTGTTAATTGCAAATCACTGACTCAGAGTATTTATGTGCTTCGGTGCTCTAGGGGTCAAGAGTCTTATTGTGCCAGCAGTCCCAACTGAGGGTAAACAGAGTTGATGCAGGGCTGCTGTGAACGGAAAGTCGTACCTGGATACGACATTTGACTGGGTTGTGTCAGACTACGGTACTTCTTGAATAAGCGTCACTAGGCAAAAGGATTGGCGAGGGTGTGACCTCTGGGCTTCAGCTGATGCTGCATGTCAGCGTGAGTTGCATATCCGTGAGCCACCATCAGCGCGCCATCTCGCAACTAACTACCGACCAGGCGCTACTTGCCCTGTCTAGCTTCAAAACCGCCCCCAACTTCATGACTTTCCTTTTAGTAGTTCGACTCAATGCTTGAATGAACACCGACCACAAATACGACGTGACACCCCGTCATCAATCAAGTGAAACCTTCCATGTTTGCCAAATGCGCAACGAAGACCTGTACTGAAAGCAGATTTACCAATGACAGCCAGCGCCGCCCAAAAGGAAGTGTCGGAGGCGGTGACCAACGACAATCGCGATGTATCCGACTTGTGGAAAGAGGCCCTCAAAGCCTACAAAGGAATTGTAGGGTTCGATCTCGAGCGTAAGTTCGATAACGTTCAGGCGATGATCGATCAAGGCACCCACGAGATGGAGAACTTTCACAAGTTTCGCCATAACGACAAGAAAGTGGACAAACTGCGAAGCCTGTTTGCTGCTAATCTCGATTACATCGAGAAGGGCGCACAACAGCTCGTCTCGGCAGCCGTTCCAGCTTTCCCTCCGGCTGCAGCTATCGGCACCGCGGTCACCATAATGCTAAGCGTAGGTTGCGTCCTTCATCATTTGATGTTGTGACCAAGCTCATTCAGATTACAGGCATGCCGCCAAGTCTCGGCAGACTATGACATCGTGATGGTGTTCTTCGAAGACATGAACAGCTTTTTGCAGCGTATCACGATTCTCGAGACTAGACTCCCGAAACACAAGGGTTATCAGAACTGTCTCATGGACGTGTTCACGTCTTTTCTAGTCATGTGTGGCTTTGCGCATAAGTTCATCGAGCTAGGTCGTTTCAGTGAGTCCAGGAACAAAATGCAAGCGATGTCGACCGCTGATTCGAGGTTTCTAATCTTTCAATAGAGAAGTGGATCAGTAACCTTCTTCACGGCGAGGATAGCGAGCTAGGCGGCGCTCGTAAAAGCATGGATCTCAAAATTCAACGTCTCCAGCAAGCAACAGAATTTGCAATTCTTGGCAACACAGAAGAGATTCAGAAGATGAGCACAGAGTTGTTGACCAACCAAGAAACACACACTGCAATGCTGGAGAAGCAGATGCAGGTCATGAACTCGATTCGTGACACCACCGAGATGATCCAAAGTGACATGGCGAAGTTGCTGAAAGCCTTTAATGACCAAAAACGCGAAGCAAAGAAGGATCGTGGCAACGACCAACGTGGCAAGGCGGCGGAGCAAAATAAGCCTCCATCTGCAAAGAGGATCCGCAACATCTTGGTTGAGGTAGAGGGTGAAGGCCATGAGTACCACGTCTTGAAGGAAACACTTGTCAAAGACACTTGCACTTGGGTGTTTTTGCAGTCTGCATGGGACGAGTGGCTGAAGCAGGGCCAAACCGACCACTTGACTCTGGCCATCACTGGAGAACCTGGCACTGGGAAAAGTCACATCGGGCTCACAGTCTACGAACGGCTGCTTAATGAAGCTATGAACGACACTTTGAAGCTTACGTGCGCCGCACATTTCTACTTCCGGGAACAGTCGTCCAGTCTCTCAAACTTCTGCAACGCCATCACAACTGTCATCATCCAAGCTGTCGAACAAAACGCTTCACTCTGTGAGCTAGTCAATGCAGAGGTAATCAAGGATGATTTCGACATGGATTCATATGTCGCCGAATCACTCATTCGTCAGATCTTGGTTCCCGCGTTTGGTAAAGCCTCCAAATTCAAGCTGGTTCTGCTCTTCGACGGGCTTGATGAGCTCGATGATCTCACCGAGTTTCTTAACTTTCTCAAAGTGATACGCGAGGAGAATCTAAGAATTACTGTGGCCTTTACGTCCAGACCCAGGGTTCTTTCCAGTGTCAAAGAATTATCATCCGTGCTCGCGGTCAATGTCACCAGGGAAAACCAAAAAGAAGACCTAAGAGCGTTTATCTGGAGTCACATCAATTCCTTGTCTATCATGAGGAAGTTCGATCGCTACATCCAACAACGTATTGCCGACAAGGTCGAGGAGGTAGCCCCAAGTAAGTTCTTTATTCGACCGAGATGTACTGTGGCACACTAACGACCTAGACTTCTTGTACGCTTCGCATATGCTTGCGCATTTTGACAACCTAGGCCGCGAAGGGGCTGTTATCCGGAACCTAGAGAAGCCATTGCCATCAGGACTTCATGGGATCTATGAAGGCTTGTTGACCGACTGCTACCGTCGAACTGAACTCGAGCACAAGCCCATTGTGTCTAAGCTTCTTCATTGGCTTGCCTTCGCTTTCCGACCATTGACATTCAACGAAGTAGTTTCACTGGTACGATTGTGGATGAATGACGTCAACTTCGACCTGGAAAAGGTTCCCGAACCCTTCGAGAGCTTTCTTCAGGTTGGTGACCCTGGTTCCGATGCTGAAGAACGCGTCAAGATTCAGGCTCAGGGCGGATGGGGCACGGCAGTAAGCGAGTTGGAAAAGACGCAGACAGCGGTTAACCGCGAGGCCATCTACAATGATGGTGAGCTGCCGGTGAAGTTCAAGGAGCGCTCGATGCGATCGTTCTTCATTGAAGAACCTAACAAGACCGACATCCACGCCCGTCGCATAAGGCCCTCGGAGACTCATCGGCAGATTTTTCTAGATTGCACCAAACTTGCCTGCACTACAGGCCACTATGCATTCCCAATTTCCAGTGCTCTCAGTCGTTATGCAGTGGCTCACATTGTATCACACTGGTTTCACATTGACTTCGAAACCCACACCGCTGAGGAACTAATCGAGGTCATGGAGGCGCTAGTTTCCACTTTGTCGAACAAAAAGTCGTTCTCTCGGATGATGGAGTGGACTGGGTCCAGCTACTCGAGCACCTTCACCGATGAAGTTTTCGAAAGAATCTCTAGATGGATTCAACTCCTCAGTGTCCACAAAGAGCAACTAAGCAAAGATGCGGTTGAGTGGTGGAGAATCGTCTCAGAAAACCCGCGGAACTGTTTGATCTCTCTCGCCAAGGCTCACTTGCGGCAAACTTACATTTCCCTTAATGTCGACAATGCCTTGGCTTCTTACCGAAGAGCGAGGGATGCCATTAAGACCGTAGGTTCTACCTTATCCTCCTTACGATCCTCACTGACCCGAGTAGACCAACTTGGACCCTCTTCTTTCGCAGCAAGCCAAGAAAAACTACGAAGATGAGATCGGAACCATGGGAGGATCTCTGACCGAGAAGCAAGGTGTCCTCGGCATCGAAGGTCTCTTTGAAGACATCAAGATTGAACCTGCGGGATACCGCGCACTTGCTTCTCTCATGCTACACTTCAAATACTTGAAACCTGCAGAGACCTTGTGTCAAAATGCCCTGGATGGCCTCAATGGGACTCTCGACATCGTCAGAACTAGGGAGCTAATGTCCCGAATTCATTTGGAGAGTGATGCGCAGGCCAGTCATCGAGATATTCTCGAGTGTTTCGAAAAGATGAACGACGAAACTGTTCCGCTATCTTTGCGCCACACTGTATGTATAACCAAGGCGAGGGTCGAGGCAAAGCTAGAGATGAACGAAGCAGCCGCCATCTCTTACGCTCACGCAAGATCTATCGATCCGACAACTATGATGGCTGGGGAAATTCTGAACGAAGAACTTGATCTGTTCTCGGAGGAGGACAGCAAGCAGGGCTTCATGGGCGTTTTGAAGAATTGGAGCCCGCTACAGCGACTGACCTGGCTCTGTTGGGAATACGACGACTACCACGACGAGAGATCACGATTGCACCGTAATGCTGCTGTCCAGTCCGGAGAAGTTGATTTCGTCCTCCAATTGTACTTGGACTCCATTCAGTACTTGGAAAACGTCAATGCAGCCGCACCGCTACGAATCGATCTTTCGCTGCTCTACCAGCATGTTACCGGGGACATCGAGGCCGCAAGACTAGCTTTGGATGAGGTTCTCGATAGCGGTTCAACAGGCTATCCGTACGCCATCACGGATTCGTCACCCGACTATACTGTTACCCGTGCAATTGACCACTACAGCGAGTTGCTTTATGGAATCTTCCGAAGCTCCCACGACCCGAACCACAAGACGGAATTGCTTATTACTGTTCAGAGGCTCCTTGACCGTCCGCTCGCCCTGGATGTACTGCCGACTTCAATCACGTATCTCACTTTCCGCCTGATCGTTCTTTCTCGGATGTATCTGAAGTTGGGCCCCATAACCAAGTTTCAGGACACTCTGCAGGGTGTTTTGATCAGCTGTATTGATGCACTAAGTGACACAATCAGTTGGAATGATGCAGATAATCTGGTCTGTCTATCGAAGGCTCTTCACATTCTTGGCGAATCCATACCCAACGGCCAAGAACTAAACACAATGGCGCGCACTATGTACTCTGCTGTGTTCTGTCACCTCGACCCTAAGGTCAGGTTGATGGACGATGAGGGGAATAACGATTCTGACGATGACGCTGGAGATGATAGAGAGTCCGCAACAGGTGTGGAGGCGGATGAACGGCCCACCGACGAAGGGGACCTCATTGAAGGCGCTGAACTGTTCTGTGATGGGACATGCGGCCAGAAGTTTTCTTGGTGGGGGAAGAGATCCGCTTACGCCTGTATGATCTGTCATGACGTACTCTTCTGCGCAGATTGCTACAACAAGCGAGCCTTGGATGGGGATGTCGGGAAGCAACCTGACGCCATGCCGACTTGCGGTAAACGCCACGAGTTTCTCAAGCTACCTGTTGAGGGCTGGAGAGGAGTCGCAGATGGGAAAGTTCTCTTGGAGGGCAAAGAAGCGGTAGAATTTGGCGAGCTCCTGAAACGGACACGAGCTGTTCTTTGCAAGGAGGCTTGGGTGGAGTTTTGGACAAATTGATTCATGCTCTTGTAGTCGCTATTGATATACAACGGAAGGAATCATCCAATGATACCTAATTTTTGCAAACTTCTGAAAGTGCGTGAAGGTTGCGGTTTCAACATATGGAAGGTAGCCTAAACAAAACTGCTTCAACACACTGAAGAAAGAACACCCTCAGGTTTTTGCGATGGGTAATGATGTTCTGGATACTTAAAAGCACCAGTCCAATATATCGCCTCGCAGTATTCTTCTTATCTGACCCCTGGTCCCCTGTTGCCTAGACGGGAGGTGAGGACACATGTAAGCTTACTTGACTCCCTTGTCGCCATTGAGAAGGACAGATTTACACCACCAGCATCCAGTTTTTGCAAAAGTGCAGCCGTTCTGCTCGTATAAAGTGGCATAGCATGACATGAATCAATGAATGCTAGATAATTCCCAGAATCCGGTGCAACTTAAAATTCTTCAGTCCCAATTTGAATCATTAGACGAAGCAATTCGAAGCCTTACGCAAATCTTGCAATCCTCAAACATGGCATTCACTATCTCAGCCGTCACCTACGACGACGCTGCTGTAGTTTCAAAAAACAACATGACAGCCTTCTATCACACCGATACTCATTGGCGCGCTCTTTGGAAGTCGACGCCTTTGAATGAGATAATCGAGGGCGCCACAGCTCGTATGCCGCACAGCCTCGCCGGCGGTAGGGAGAAGAAGAGACACCAAAAAGCCGTTGTTGACGATGGCGGTGAAGTCGTTGGCTACGCACGGTGGATTCTACCCGATGATGACCACCGCATTTCTTGGCCCGAAGCAGCTGTTCGCGAACCCAGTCAAGAGGAAGTCGACGATTTCAGGGCAGCCTTCCAGGCCAGTACAGATGGCGACTCTATCAGTGGTATGGACGGAAAACTACAAGCTGCTCTTGGACTGCCTCTTGAGGAGGCTGAAATTGCCGCGATGCGATCACAGGAAGGCCCATTCCTGGGTATGAACACTATCTCAATGACTATTCTCATATTAGCTGACTTGCAGCAGTTCTTGACTATCTTGCGGTGCACCCAGATTACAGGCGGAAGGGGATTGCTTCAGCTTTAGTGAAAGAGGGCCTAGAGCAAGCTAATGCCGTCGGAATGAAAGTCTGGGTAATGGCTACTAAGACTGCACAGCCGATGTACGAGAAGCTGGGATTTGAGCTCGTGGATACCGTCGAAACATCTGTCACAGAATTCGGAATTGCAGAGCCGCACAAGAAAGCCTTCTTGATGAAGAGATAGAGTTCGACCCCGCAGTACTGGGCTTGAATTTCTCGGGCTCAAGTGCGGTAAAGCTGGGAAACGAATGTGTATAGTTATGCGCTCTCTAGTGTCTATGGTCTACCAAGATATACGCCTCAAACGCCTCGTTCTTGCTTCATGCTTTTGTGCCAAAGGCAAAATGACCGCCAACGCCCTCGTCAAATTTGAGCCTGCGATAAGCTCTTAGTATGTGTAGCGGAAGTCTGATGCTTGGGTTTCCTGCAGTGATTGACCAGTTAGCAAAGACTTCCAAAACATAATTTACTCGATCAATCTGGATTTTCATCGAGAAGGTGGGTTCCGAGACAACTTACATCCGACGCTTCGAGCTCAACCTCACCACGCTCGGCCTTCGCGTTCCAATGGCGGAAGTAAAAGCTCAAGGCAATAACAACCATGACATTCAGAACCGCGCATACCAAGCAAGTGCTCAACCCAGGTAGATAGTGAGGCTTGTCTTGGCTTCTATTCATAGGTTAGTAAGTTACTCACCTCTGCATAGAAGAGATAATTCGATATCAAGAAGGACCCTAGCCAGGGCGCACACTTTGCATAGAGATAGCCTAGGTCTGCGACACACGTACCTGAAAACAAGAGAGCCGGCAATGCCACCGATCCCGCTAACGCCGACTACCATGGCACTGCAAAATGCCCGCTTCCACTGTCCTCGGATGTTGTTCGCCTGATACGCCATGGTCGCCGGCACGGCGCTAACACTCCCTGCGGTGATGAGAAAGACACCCAGGTATCGGACGGCAACATCGCTGTGGAAGCCCATCAGGCAGGTCCCAACAATCGACAAAACCATATCGCCAACAATGATAGGGCCTCGAAGCATGTATCGATCTCCTAGCCAACCCGTGGTGTAAGTGATGATGGCGGCGAACACATACGGCGGCGCCGTCAAGATCTGAGCTTTTCCCGTGTCGAAGCCCATGTTGTCTTTGAGGATGATTGGCAGAAAAAAAGACAGCGCTTCACAAAAAGGGGTCAACAAACAGTCTCAAAAGTAGTCTCACAAAACTTACAGAATATGACAAGAGCATTGTTGAAGTAGATGATGGACAAAGCCCAGACTTTGATGTCAGCCCCGCCTCTGAGGAATTTCTTGATGCTGAAAGGCGGTAACTCCGCATCTCCTCTATCAGCCTGAACTCTCGAAATTACCCAAGCAGTTTCCTCCTGGGAAAGAAAGTTCCAGGCGCTTTTTTGAGCATCCGGAAACCCAACGAGGAGGAGATAGCCAACGATGCCGATAGCGCAAGTTATGACACCTTCTATGATGAAGATCCATGACCAGCCTCTGAGGTTTGCGGTCCCATCAAGTTGGGTGAGCTACAAGAAGGGTATGTTCAGAAACTTACTCCACCAGATTTGAGAGACAGATATCCAAAGACTATTGCTAAACTTGAGTTGGACTTACTCCGAAAGCCAAGATTCCCGCAAACGCAGAGGCAAAGCAGACAATCATGTAGAACACCGAGTACCGTTTTCCAACTTCGTCTGGAATTCATTAGCACAAACTTAACTTTTCCAACTCCCACTTGAGAGGAATGGACTTACAACGAGTATACCAGGTGCTCAAAAGGTAAACGCAGCTAGGGAAAAATCCAGAGTCGAGCGCACCAAGGATCACTCTCAAAGCCACGAGCTGGCCCCAGTGCGTCAAAAAGCCCATTCCAATTACGATGCCACCACAAATTATTGTGATGGCCGTGAAGTAGGCCCGAGGGCCCAAAGTTCGGCCAAGAATGACTGAGACCGGCTGAAAAGTAATATAAGTCGTGAAGAATACCAAGCTAACGACCGACTATTAAAATTGATTGTTAGTCGTCTCAAGACACGCGTCTTATCAAAGAAAAGAGGGTTTGCCAGGGTTTAATACTTACGTAGCGGTTGCCATTCAAGTCTAAATCTTCTCTCATGCCGGCAACGGCCGCGGATGGAAGGTTCGATCGGTCAATCACAGAGAAGCAGTACAACAACCCGACAGTTGCGACAAGACGAATATCAACTCGCCTCATGATTCTCTTCTGCTCAGCAAAAGAGAATCCATGAGTTTCCTGCCCCGTTGCTGATTCCATTATGTCGAGGTCGTTTGGTACCGAACTGCCCTGGTCAGGCGTCGTGGCTGGTTTCATGATGCTTTTAAGTGAAGACATCGTTTCGATATTGTAGTTTGTCGTCTTTGTGGTTGCGAGAGTTGTTCAGATGCTGATAGTGAGTGAAACGAAAACATTGTGTGAACATGTCTGCTTTATCACTATTTTCTCTTGAATTATTTGTCCCCCCATTCACTGTGTTGATGTTGAACCTCGCCAAGGGTTGAGATCCTTCACCTCTCACCCTCCGTTGATTCTCGAAACATCACGATCGCGATTCACGACGAGGGTGCTTCGTAAAGTTTACTAAGGCACGTGAAGAAGGATGTTGGGTTGTGACGAATCATCATGGTGTAGTGAATCAGAAAGAGATAAGCGACGATGGCGCGCGCGCGCGCGCCAGAATTTGGAATTTGCTCGGCCATGAGCGGGCCATCCGCATGGGAGAGAAAAAAACCTGACTTAGGTCATTCCCACTTTCCGGGCTAAAGGGACTTGGTTTTCCCCGCTACCCCAGTCAAGCGGTCTTTGAGAGGTGCTGAAAATAGCGGTACTCGAGAGGAAAGACCTTGTTTCCTCCGTCAAAGAGAGGAAGTGTTTCATTCCTGCCCGCTGTTCGTGTGTGGAGGAAACAAAAACATTGTGTTGGTTGCCTCATTGCTGCATGCTCGCGCAGGTCATATTAATCAACCAATCAGATACAGAACCCTGACATCTCTAAATAATACTTCAGAGGCAGAATCAAGCCAGACGAGCCAAGTACTATTCCAGGATCGACTTAGGACTCGAAGGATTCACTTGCGGAGACTAGTGAGTGAGTATCCGGCCCATCACAGTAAGCGACGTTCAGTTGATGTGGGAGGGCTTCGTCTAGAATTGAGCTCGTCTCGATTGAAGAAAACCACGACGGAGTCCGCAGGCAAGATGACAATTAAACATCCTCTTCCGGGAATTTTCAACGTCTAATGAACTACTCTGCGGGATACTGAACCTGGACGAGGAAGTATGCGGTGTTGTCGTTGGCTTCCTTGGTTTAGCGTCGGGATCGGGGTCATGGATTGATTCCCTGCGGTTATTCCGGGTATCTGCAGGCTCCGTCATGATGCAGATCACATCCAGTCTGTCGGACTTCCACCAGCCTGGTCATAGGCTACGGCAATGTGTATCCGCCATCGATCACAACGTTCGATCCTGTCATGTAACAGCATGCATCACTGGCAAGGAAGACATAGAGCTATCGATCCAGAAGAACATTAATTAGGGCTGTCCATGTGTCATGTAATGCGGGCTCGGGGGATTGTTCACTCACTCCTCTTAGCTCGGCAGGATGACAAACCCGGCCACCTGGGATCATTGATAGCCAATGCTCCATCAGCTCTTTCGGCTGCTTTGTCAACACTGCAAGGAACACGGTAAGCAACACTGCACGTGGTTTTGGTGCCAAATATAGGACTTGGGGGAAGAAAAACCACAACTGACTCTCGGTGAGGATGTATCCAGGCGACACACAATTGACACGAGCAAAATTGGCCCATTCGACGGACAGACTTTTGGCAAGCTGCACGACCGCCGCCTTGGAAGCATTGTACGCAGCCTGTTCCTGGGGCACATTGACCAAAATAGCGCTCACGGAAGCGGTGATGACCAGGTTTCCTCTCCCTTGCTTTTTGAAGATGTTTCCCACAGCCTGCGCAGTCCACATGACGCCGTCGTAATTGACGCTGTTCATGTCCTGCCATGTCCTTTCCGTATACTCGAGCGACTTAACATTTGCGCAGACGCCCGCGTTGGCCACGGCTATGTCTATGCGGCCTCCGCCGAACTCGCTGGCGATCTGGTTGATGGTTTTCGCAATGGTGTCTCGGGACGTGACATCGGATCGGTATGCCTGGACGCGAACGCCTGTCTCTTTTGCGATTCGAGCAGCTGTTTCGTCGGCTTCGGTGTTGGTCTTGTAAATGAATGCGACATCTGCGCCAGCCTCTGCCAGCCCGCGAACGACTTCGGCGCCAATTCCCCTCGAGCCTCCAGTCACAACCGCAATCTTCCCGTTGAGGGAGAACTGCGTGAGGATTGGAGCGTACAAGTTCTCGGGTTGATAGAGAGGCATGTTGAGAGACTGCTTCGTAATGGAGTTCAATTATTCCCGGACTGCTTGGTTCGCATTCTAATCAGGCTGGAATCCATCGTCTTGGAGGCAGTCTTATATACCGAAGACCTCTATCTAAATGTTCGAAGCCATGTAAGAGACACCATCTCGCGATGAGAACAAATGGTCTTTTTCGAACTCTGAGGTGGCTCAATGCAAAGCTCCCCATCTGTTGACAGCAGGCTGTGTGAGTGTCAACTTGTCAGAACAAATACGGGTCAAGTCTGTGGCCATCTGACTCCACGCTATCGATGTCCCTGCCTCCGGGAGATTCGACAACCATAGCAGCGCCGCCCAGCAACCGAGCGCTCGTCTCGAGGGAAGACATGGGCACTGCTAGGCCTCCCACCGGTCACTCCGCGAGCTAGGACGTTTGAGAGATTGAATGGCATGATCTGCTGCGTGATACCAACCCATTCTACGTCCCCCATGGGGTTTCCCCGCGTTGGTCCAAGGTATTTCGGTTCTTGGGTCGGACTACGTCACTTTGATGGATTAGATTAGTCCGAGCCGACTAGGACGACTTCCGATGTTGGTTGAAGTAGTAACATTCTGTATAACTAGAAAAAGACACTCAGACCTCTGACTTGTAACATAAACTATTTTGTTATTCGACTCCGACTAGGACTCAACAGAAAACTTTGCATCCATTTTTTTTCACAATCGCTACGATGGACCAACGTCACGCGTGGATGGTGACAGCGAAGTTCGAGAAGAGAGCTCTTCTCATCGCTGTCAACGCCCTTGCCGGAATGTCAATTTTCTTCTTTGGTTAGTCTGACTGTTTCAACTCGTGCATACATCGAAATTATGTGCCTGACGGGACGGAAATGCTGACAAACTTGATGTCCAGGTTATGATCAAGGAATGATGGGCGGTGTAAACAACGCCAAACACTACATCGATCTTATGAAATTCGGATATGTCGGCGCTGATGGTACTCCGGTCGTGACCGACACTCTCCTTCAAGGCGGCATCATGTCTGTCTTCTATCTCGGCACTCTTATCGGCTGTATGGTCGGAGGATCCATCGGCGACCGATTTGGCAGAATCAAGACTATTGCCATTGGTGCTCTTTGGGGTATCTTCGGCGCGTCTTTGCAGTGTACCGCTATGAACTCGAATTGGATGATCTGTGCTCGTCTTCTCAATGGTATTGGTACCGGCATCCTTAACGGCATTGTGCCTGTCTGGGCATCGGAGCTCGCGGACTACACTTCTCGAGGTGCCTTCATTGCAATGGAGTTTACTTTGAACATCTTTGGTGTTGTCGTGGCTTATTGGCTTGGGTGAGATTCAACTGGCAAATCGAAAACGTGGAACATGAAACTAATCAAGTTGTTCGACACAGATATGCTGTCAGCTTCATCGACAATGGCGAGTCGGCTTTCCGATGGCGCTTCCCCATCGCCTTCCAAATTATTCCGCTGCTCTTCTTGCTCTTCGGATGCTTCCTATTCCCCGAGTCACCTCGCTGGCTTTGCAAGGTCGGCCGAGATGATGAATCTCTCTACATCTTGCAACGGCTCCGAGGCACCCATGATGGTATTGCCGAGGCGGAACTTGCGGACATCAAGGATGTCGTCAGACTTGAACAATCGGCCGAGGGAACCAAATACCACCACATGCTCTTTGGTCTCAAGTGTGGAAAACTTCACACAGGCCGAAGAGTGCAACTGGTCATTTGGCTGCAAATCATTCAATGCTGGACCGGTATCGCTGGTATCACCATGTACGGCCCGAGTAAGTCGTCAGCTCACTTCAACTCGTTATTGTGGACGGAAAGCCCCTAGCTAACCAGAGCCTCGAACAGCCATCTTCCACATCGCCGGTTTCGGTCCATCCAAAGCCCTCTGGATCTCTGGTTTGAACAATATCTTCTACATGTTCGCCACGCTCATCTGTGTCTTCACCATTGACAGGATTGGAAGACGTTGGACACTGTATTGGGGTTCGGTCGCCCAAGGCATTGCCATGTTCCTTGTCGGTGGCCTATCCCGCGGCGGTCTGAATGCCAGAGCTGTTGGAAACGACGACGTTGCCAACTCCTGGGGAGCCGCAGCCGCTACAATGGTTTTCCTTTAGTAAGTGATCTTGACACATTCTTCACACTCCGTCGATGACTGACATTTCCGAAGCACATTTGTGTTTGGCGCAACTTGGCTCACTGTACCTTGGTTGTACCCGGCGGAGATCTTCCCGCTGCAGGTCCGAGCCAAAGGTAACGCCTGGGGCGTCGTTGGATGGAGTATTGGTAATGGGTAAGGCGCCAAAGTCTTTGCCTAACGTGGCTCAAGGCACGTCGCTAACTCCAAGATAATCAGTACCTTAACGCTTGTTCTTCCATACATCATTGGAGCCATCAACGAAAATGCGATGTACATCTTCGCTGCCATCAATGTCATCAGTATTCCAATCGGTAAGCTGACAAACTCTACACTCTGATTGTCTGTCTTCGTCTACTGACTACGTTATCTTAGTGTGGGCTTTGTACCCTGAGTCGAATCAAAGAACTCTTGAGGAGATTGATTTCCTCTTCGCCGCAGACTCGCCATGGACATGGGATGCGGAGAAGAAGTTCAAAGAGCTCAAAGCCGAACACGAAAGTCGTGTTGGTGCCGTTCGCGCAGCTGTTGGGGGCGATCTGGAGAGCAAGGGAGAAAACTCCAGCACCCATGTTGAGAAGTCTTCCGGTTCAGAGATCCAATGATTCAAGGATACTAGGCGCTTTTCGAGCCGCCCCTGCTTTCATCCACACAGGGGTTACAGGAGGACAAGTGGACTGTGGAACAGGCTTGCAGGAGTGTCTGAAGGTCAGAGGAGGACAGCCGGGCCTTCGTGATATAAGACTCTAGAGCCAATAGCCAGTATGCATTATTATGTCAAATTTTATCTGCATCTCACATTGTCTTTACAATAAACAAAGAAGGCTTCTTGGAGAGCTGATCGCTTACAACCAACTACTGGACACCTCTTTTTCATTTTTTTTTCTTGCTCTTGGCTTAGATCTCACTTGGCCATCTAAGAATGAAAAGCTAGCAGTCCGTCAGTTCCCGTGACACCGGCCTCATGCCATGAACCTGTTGCCACGAAAATCTCCACATACCATATGGAGTTCGGACACATGAGCCCTAGTTCATCTGGCCATACCGCGGTGCATTAGCTTGAAGTTTCTCACTGGTCCTTGACTTCTGTAGGTGCCAAGGCAACATAGGTAATGCAAGCGACTGAGGCGAATCAAGCCAAAACAAGTTATTCAATGAACTACCTGACTTGTGACCGATAGTTTATCAATTGAGTCCTGAACTTACCAGCCCTGCCCGAATAATACTAGCGTGGTTTAGCCTGAAAACGCGGTAGCCTTCCTGACACGAGTATTTCAGGTCCACTTTCATGCAGCCTCAGTTCCCTCGAGACGAGGGTGCGGGGTAAGACAGTTGTGTACCTAGATGTGAACATTCCGATCCGGAGCAAGTCAAAGCGCGGAGGATGAGGCTAAGCGAGGAGAGTGGGCAAAGTCAACAAGATTACACCGCGGCGGGTTGAACCCTGGCTTGTATGATTTAGCTAGAATCATTTCCATTAACTGCTGGTCACGCTCCTGCAGATTGAGATCGAAAATCGTCATATTCACGCGTCAAAACAAAATGGCTTCATCAAGTTGGCGGCTGCTGAAAGGCAAAACAGCCTGTATCACGGGAGGCACAACTGGCATTGGCCGTGCGATAACACTCGAATACTTGAGACACGGCGCTAATGTTGCAGTCAACCACCTCGGCCTCCCTAGCGACGAAAGACACAGACTCAGCCTCATCGAAGAGGCAGAAAAGATCAGAAAAGATGCCCCCAGAGATTTACCGACGGGCGAGTTGATTGAGCTTGCAGGCGATGTGACGGACCCGAATACCGGAAAGGGTCTCGTTGCCGCAGCAGTCAAGAAATGGGGTGGACTGGATGTATTCATCGCGAACGCTGGTATCTTTAAGCCAGCTGAGTTTCTCACGTATGTTTTTCTTGGTACTTTACGAAGAGATCTTGGGAGCTGAAGCTAACGAACTCACGAATAGACTCGAAAAGGAAGTCTTCGATAAAACAATACACGTCAACGTCAACGGCGCATTCTACTCGTGCCAGGCAGCTGCGAACCAGATGGTCAAGCAAGGACGTGGAGGATCAATCATCGGCATCTCCTCAATCAGCGCTCTGCAAGGTGGAGGTCTGCAGACTCACTATACTCCGACAAAAGCAGCGGTCCTGTCTATGATCCAGTCAATGGCAGTGGCTCTTGCAAAGCACCGGATCAGATGCAACGCTTTGCTCCCTGGCACCATTCATACACAATTGGCAGAGGAAGACATGCAAAACGAGACGAAGCGCAAGTATCTTGAGCAACGTATTCCGATGGGCGTGGGCAAGCCTCATGATCTGGCTGGGCCGGCGGTCTTCTTGGGTTGCGAGGAATTAAGTGGATTCATGACTGGATCCCAGATGCTGGTGGATGGTGGCATGTACGTTCACTTGCAGTAGTTTTTTTTACACCTAAGGTAGTTTCCGACGTTCGGTACAGAATCTGAATGTGGCACATTCTACGAGATCACATTGTGCCATAGAACAAAAATAAAAGTAAAATACATAAAAAATAAATAATAAAACACCCCCATACAATTGCCAAATCCCAGCCTTTCCCCAAGCGTGCAAAGCACCAGGCTAGTGTTCATCCCACCAGGATCCAGTCGGAGACCGGCGTCTCCACACCGGGTGCGTCGAGCCGGAGCCGTCTCCAACTTTTAAGCGGGACACTCCAGGTTACCCCGCACTAGCGTCTGCCCCGTGCACACATAGTACGTACAGCCAATTCTCCAACCAGTCGCGACTCTTCGCAACTCCAAGTGCCAGTGTTCCCTGTCGCTTCCACCTTCCTATTCCTCATCGCACCACACGACTCGACGTTTGTGCATGTCGTTGCCCGAAATCCTGGGACGGCGGCCACACATCAAATCCATTTCCCATCTGCACATTACCCCTTCAGCTTCAATGGCATAAATATCATCAAGATGGGCGCTGATGATGAAGATTCACAACCCTACTTCACCCGTGGTCGCCTCAGTCGTGGCCGCGGCCTCAGAAACAGCACCGGCTGGTGAGTACTATCCCTATCCTAGATCTGGAGAAAACTCTTCGTAAACTGTCTCAAATCTAATACTTTCTTCTCGCAGTGCAACATGTCGCCGCCGCCATGTCAAGTGCGACGAGAGAAAACCTATATGTGGTGGATGTGAGAGAACCAAACACAATTGCCTCTACACACCGAGGCGGCCACCAAACAGAAAACGGTCTGGTCCAGTCGTATCAGTCACCCCGAATAGTGGTACTCCCAAGTCCACGACGCCTCGAGAGCCTCAATCGCCTCGGTCTCCCAGTCCATCGAATTCTGAGTGTCAGCCCGTCATCTGTGATGACGAGCCAGCTCCTCTACCAACAGTGGCGCTCGGAGAACCGCACACATCAAGCATAGCGAGCGCTACCACAATAGCACCGTCCAATGATGAAGGCATAGATACATCTCATCAAGCCAATGATGGTGATAGACCAGCTTTCGAACAAGACTCTCCAGAGCAAGTCGACGCGTTATGCACGGGCATCACACCACGAGGCACAGCACGAACGTCCAGCTCATTTGGGGCAAATCTAGAGAACGCCACCGCCATTTGGGTCGACCTGCTTCTCCAAGATGCGGCCATGCAAGAAATCGATTTCACTAATGTCAACTTTGAAGAAGGCGTCGATCTCTTTGCAAGCTCGGTCGTGCAATCACCTGCAGTGGGGCGCGGTTTGCCAAAGACCAGTGGAGAAGGCCTCAGTCCTACGCCATGCGCCTCACATCCCTACTTGCATGAGAGATCTCCGACACTTGATGAATACCAGTGCCTTGAGAAACAGGCTTGGCGATCGGCAACGCCTCTGCCAATCCAGGCGCAGGAGCATGTTGTTTTCCAAAACTTTGTGCAACACATTAGTAGATGGGTAAGTTGTGAAAGCATCCGCTTGGAGCACACTTGGAGTAACGATCCCCGTTGGCATTAGATGGACCTATTCGAACCTAGACGTCCATTTGGAACTCTTGTTCCTCAACTTGCAGTACGTCAATCACCCATCCCTTGTTTCGAGTAAAGTTTGGAAACAATCTGCTGACGAGGGTCTATGACACACTTTTAGATGCATAATGTAGGGCTGCTCAATGCCGTCCTCGCCCTATCTGCACGCCATCTCTCTTTGAGTACACATTTAGATGGCACACAGACTCGAGACCCGAACGACGCACTGAGATACTATTACAAGACCCTACACTACATCCAAGATGCGATGCAATACGATACATACAAAACCAGCCTTGAACTCCTCGCGACCAGCGTCACTGTATCGGCATACGAGATGCTCGATGGCTCGAGGCAAGATTGGGAGAGACACCTCAAAGGAGTATTCTGGATCCAAAGATCGCAAGTTATACACGGCGATTCCATGGGTTTGAAGCAAGCTGTCTGGTGGGCGTGGCTATGCCAAGATGTCTGGGCCGCCTTTCGCGAGAAGCGTCGTCCCTTTACATTCTGGCGGCCACTGAAAACATTAGATGATCTTGGCCCATCTGAGTTGGCAGCGCGCTCAGTCTACTTTTTTGCTCACGTGGTCGCATTCTGCTCGCACGAAGAGACCGAAACGGGGAGGAATGACCCTCATGCGAGGATCGCGGCGGCCGATACCTTGAGAGAAATGTTGGAAAGTTGGAGGCGACACCTGACGGCCGAGTTCCAACCACTCCCCTACCTGAGTGCCCCTGATGACATCTTCGAGCCAATCTGGATCAATCCTCCGGCGTTTGGTAAGCTCAGCTTTCCAGAATTTTGCGGGCAATCATAATGACCATACACAGCGGTAGCTTTCCAGATCTACTACTGCTCCCACATCCTGCTCCTTATGAATGTACCTGTTCTAGGCGGGCTTGAACAGTACACGCAGCAGCGGAAGCGTCTGATGGAATGCGTTAAGAAAGTCTGCGGTATCGGCATGACATTGTCAGACTATCCATCAAGTGTCTTGTGCTCTCAGTGTCTATTTATCGGTACGTCTACCCTTCCGTTCTAAGAAACCGACTCTGATCCAACAAAGCCGGCATACCCCTTGAGAATAGCAGAGAGCGGAATTGCGTTCTCAATCTACTAGAAGCCTGCCACGCCCGATCAGGCTGGCCTGTGAAGCCGCTCGGCGAGGAATTGAAGCTCCGATGGGAAGCTTCCGACGCCTAATAATACCCAGAACCGACTTCCATTCATGCCTGTCCCGCTGAACCACAAATCTCCATCCACTCCTTTGTCTGACGGATGACATTGCTCGCACCCTCCTCGATAAGCGTAGTATGCGGTAGTCGCATGACCTGCGACCGGAGATGGGTGTAATAGTCGTCCAGAACAAGCCTATTGACGTTTATCTTTGTCGCGCCCGCAGCGATGCACTGCTTCATCAGATCGGGCGGGAATCCGTTGGTGCCGTGCAGAGCCACCCTGACTCTGCCGGCAATCTGGGCGCGTATCTTTTCGAATCTGCAAATCTCGTTATCAGCATCCTTGTTCGGGAGGGTGCTTTATCAAGTATCCATCTGCTGCACGCCGAAGGGCTTCTACGTACCGTTCAAAGTCCAATTGCGGACCCAACTTTCCGTACTCGCCGTGTACATTGCCAAATGCCGGGGCGAGGGAATCTACACCCGTGGCGATAAACTCGTCAACTTCCTCGGCGGTCGTCTTGCTAGCCTCCAGCCCGGCCGTATCCATGACGCCGTCTTCGGCACCTTCTATCCTCCCGGGCTCGGCCTCGGTGGCAATCTTGCGTTCGTGGCAGTACTTGACCCATTTGGCCGTCTTTTCTAAGTTTTCCGCCTTTTCGTAGTGGGACATGTCGACCATAATGCTGTCGAACGGAAGATTGTCGGCTGCATATTGAATAATCTTCTCGTCTTGCGCGTGATCAAGATGAATCGAAATTGGGACGGATACTCGAGACACAGCTTCTTTGGCGGTCCGGACAAGCAGACCGTCGGCGAAAGTGACCGCCCAAGGGAAGAATTGGATGATGAGAGGCGAACGCGCTTCTTCAGCTGCGGTGACGAGGCCGTGGATCTGCTCAAGGTTATATGCAATGGCCGCAATCACTCCGTATCGGCCCTTTTCGGCCTTCGTCAGGATCTGGATCGTCCTGTTTTCATCTTTCCAGTTTGCCGGCACAGTCATGATTGCAACAGATGCGTTCTTGGAACTCCGCTTAATGTATATGTCTTGTGGAACGATTGCAAAGTTCCAGACCAGACCGGGCCAGACGTCGAAATTTGGCTGTGTATTTCAATCATATCTATGGGCCGATGAACATGGTGATGATGTGTAATTGTGTTTGCAGTTGTATGTCATAGGCGCGCTGCGGGCATCCAGTGGGGTCAACGTCGTCTCGAGGGAAAGTTCGGACCCCGGCCCCCGGCACGATCTGATCTGGAGGCGGAACGGACGATCTTAGTTTCGCGGGGTGAACTCCGTAGTTGAACTGGCGGGTTCCGAAGCTTCTCAGCTTGAACTTTCCATGAATCAGATCATTCAATAAGCAGGCTCGCATACGAGTCTTGATCGAGAGGCAAACCTCAGTCTAGCGAAGTCAGCCCGTTCATTCATTTCCCAACGTAGATCACCACTTGCCATCACAACGCACGGTTCACAATGTCAACAAACGCAGACAAGCTTGATTCATGGCAAGTTCATGACGAATCATTTCGGGAAATCTTTGGTTCAAGCCCATCGCTGGATCTCCTACTCCAAGTCGACTCGTATGCCTTCGCTCACGAAGCCGGTGTCTTCATACCCTCAACCGATGACCTTTTCATCACGAGCAACCAAATCGTGGATAAAGATGGCGCGAGAAAAGTCCAAGTTTCCAAAATATCGTTGCCCACCGGTGGGAAGACTGTAAAACATGAAGAGATCTCATGTCCAGAAATCGCGATGGGCAACGGCGGCGTTAACTACGGTGATGACATCCTCTTCTGTGCCCAAGGCTCGATGACACGACCTAGCGGTCTGTTCAAGATGTCAAGAACACCGCCGTATGCGATTGAACCAGTCATCACTTCTTTCCATTCTCGGCCCTTCAACTCGGTCAACGATGTTGTCGTCAGCAAAGATGGAAGCATATGGTTCACTGATCCGCCGTACGGCCATGAGCAAGGGTACCGCCCTCCTGCGACCCTGCCTAGCCAAGTCTATCGCTTTGATCCGGCGACGTCTTCTATCCGGGCTATGGCGGATGGTTTCGGCAGGCCAAATGGAATTTGTTTCTCGCCTGACGAGAGAACTGTCTACGTAACAGACACGGATCTTGTCCACGGCGATGGTACGGTAGACGGCAATCGGGCTTCGACAATGTGAGTTATTGACCCAGAATTATTTGAACAGTACTACCATTCTTAATTCGCGGACTAACAACACAGATACGCTTTTGACGTAGAACAGCGCCACGGACAGCCCGTATTGCTGAACCGGAGACTATTCGCATTCGCCGACGTCGGTATACCAGACGGAATCAAGTGCGATACGAACGGAAATGTTTACAGCGGATGCGGGGATGGCGTAAACGTCTGGTCTCCGGGTGGTGTCCTGCTCGGTCGTATCCTCGTTGACGGTGGTGCCGCCAACTTCTGCTTCGGACGCGGGGGCGAGCTCTTCATACTCAACGAGCATCGTCTCTGGAGAGCACAGTTGAGTAAGTCGGTCAAGGGTGCGCTTCTTGGGATCTGACATGTTTGACAGGATCTGGCCCGGTGCTTTGGTGTAATCTGCTGTGGCTGCATGGCGGTCAGTCACCTGAAAATGGGGAGATGCATCGGGAACGACGTCTTGTGGCGTGCATCGTGGCACACTTTTGCTATATGGAAGTCCGCCAATTGCGGGTTAGCTACTATATGCATGAGTGTTGATATTGAATACTAGTGCCAGTCTAAGCCCGCAAAGCAAACACATTTGCTATTCTGTCATGCATTCGGTCTGATTGTGCTTTACTCAGTGACCCATTGGATCTCATCGGGTAACATGCTGTTCCTGTGCTACCCTGGAAAGGCGTGATGAACTCCTCCATTTGGCCAGTCAGAATTTCCGAACAGGATAGACTTTTGCACATTCGACTTTCATCGATGCCGGTTGGTGAGATAATCTGTCGAAGAACGACGTCTCTTCCCATTTCATCAGCAAAGGAACTCGCATCTTTTATCAAACGCAAGATATCGGAACATGCCCGTAAGCCCTCAAGCCCCAAGGACCGTTGTCAATCCCGCAGCTATCCGCCGGTCCAACCCCTCTTCTATCTTCGCTCTTTTTTTATCGTCCGGCGTCGCATTCTACCGTGGCGAATGGCCAACTGCCGTTGGTTCAAACACCAGTCGATAGCGCAAGTACAGGGGCGCTGATCCTCGCGAACGCATGCACCCCGCAGGCCATGTCTGGCAGGTCGGGTTATTTTGGAGAGAGAGGGGAGCTCCGAGCCAGGAGAGCATGCGGGGGTGATACCGGATAAGTCTGGCAATGGGACGATCGACCCCCTTCTGTTAGACGGCGTGATAGCGCAACGTTGATCTGGGAGAATGCAACGTTGTTGGATGGACAATGCAGCGCAGCCCGGCTTGGATGAGGAGATAGGTGCGCACCGCGCACTCGTTCCGTTTGGAGATATGTTTCCCCCATGTTGGACGAGACCTATCTTCTCGCCCGATAGCTGGGCCGAGACCCGACTCCCCCGCCTTCCGCCCGCCACACAACTCTAAGTTGGACGATGATTGCAAAGGTATATAGCCCACGTGAATTCCCTTGAAGATATCATGAGAGATGATTATTTGTTCCCAAAAGATTTGCTAGTCTTTTGACGAGTAAAGCTTTCAACGGACCCGGCAGTACACGGCGTCGATTCCTCGGGTAACAATGTCCGGAAAGGTGGAGACCGTCGGAGAGGAGCCGACCCCGGCCCGGGAGGAGGATATCGAAAAGATCCCCGCGCGGGTGGACAACCCGGAGCAAAAGATCTCGGATCAGATATCCCACGAGAAGCTCGAGGAGCTGGCACCCAATGGAGAAGGAGAGTACATTCTGGAGAGGATCAATGAGATGACGGAGGAAGATGCCCTCGAAATCATTGAAGAATCGGTCGAGTTCTTCAAGGACGACTGGAACTTCCCTTCCGATATGAGAGAACGAATGAAGAAGCTGCTCGAAGGGCCGAAGAAGTACGGGGAGAACTACGACCGCGATTTGAGAATTGATGCCGTCATGATCCGCTTCTCCTCGCCTTACCCTGGTGTTCGCGCCGTGGCCGAGATTCTAGACGACCAGAGCGTACCCATTGAGACATTCCGCGCATATTTCCTAGGTATAGGCTGGGCAATCATCGGAACTTTTATCTCGACGTTTTTTAACTCAAGGTTCCCTGCCATCAGTGAGTGCCACGCCTAGTCAATCGTCTCATACGGTTTTCCTCGAAATTCTTGCTAAAGCCAAGTTTGTGTAGGTTTAAGTGGTCAGGTTATCCAGATCCTGCTGTTCCCATGCGCCAAGGTCCTCGAGTTCGTCCTCCCCGACTGGGGGATCACCGTCCGCGGCACGCGGCACTCTCTGAATCCAGGACCGTGGAACTTCAAGGAGCAGATGTTTGCGACCATCACGTACAACATTGCCATCTACACCACCAATAGTTACGGCATGATCCTGGTGCAGAAGTCACCCGTCTACTACGGTCTCGACTTCGTCAACTTTGGGTACCAGCTAATGCTCACTCTCTTTGTACAACTCATGGGAATGGGATTCGCCGGGTACCTCCGACGGTTCAGCGTGTACCCCGTCAAGGCCCTCTGGCCGACGATCCTGCCAACAATCGCCATGAACAGAGCGCTTACTAGGCCGGAACCCAGGGAGAACATCAACGGGTGGACAATCTCGCGATACAAGTTCTTCTACGTCGTAACCATCTGCATGTTCTTCTACTACTGGTTCCCGGGCTACATCTTCACCGCTTTGGCGACGTTCAACTGGATGACCTGGATCTCGCCCCAGAACGTGACGCTGGCAATCATCACAGGATCCTCGCTGGGTCTTGGCTTGTTCAACCCCATCACCACGTTTGACTGGAACGTTGCGACTTCGTCGTATGCTGCTTTGGCACAGCCGTTCTTTGCGACGTGTACGATGTACATTGGTGCCATCCTGGGCGGAGTCATCATCATTGG